TCTGCTGATGACAGGAACAGGCACAGGAGCTGGAGAGTAAAAAAAAAGAATAATCTAAGAATAAGTGACAGTATGGGTAAAAGGAGTGTTACTTAAACATTAAGTGCTATTTACATGTGTAATACTCACCATAAACAGTGACAATGAATTTTGTTTTTAACTCACTCTGTCCGAGATCGACACTTAGTTCATAAACTCCAGTGTGTTCATTAGTGATGTTTGTGACGGTGAGATCTCCAGTCTGTCTTTCGAGCTCCAGTCTTTCTCTGAATATCGTGATATTGTCTTTAGAAATGTCTCCCGCCTCTATTTTGATTATACGAGTTCTGCTCGATCCAAAGCGCCGCCGCCACTCGACCGTATTGCTCTGGATTTCAGTGAGACCAGTATAGAGAGTGAAAGAATCTCCCTGCATCGCTGACACGGTTATATTTTTTGTCTCAGAGTCTAGAGATCAGAATTAAATGTATATGTAAATGTAAACCTAAATATTTAGATAATTTAATGATTTAAACGATTTTGGCTTATATGCTAACACTAAGGCCATTAAAGGCCTACATTTACTACTCACCAATCAGAGGAAAAAAACAAAAAAAGAACAAAACAAGCGAGTGAATCATTTTCTTCAACCGTTTGAGATCCGTTCAGTGGCTGATGAGTTCTGGAAAAAGAACTGATGTCGATTTCATGAAACACGACAGAATGGCTTAAATATCTTAAATAGTGCGTGTGGCCTAGATAACCTGCGGTGAGATCTTCAAAGAATCTTCAGCCAATCAGAAAAAAACCCCAAAAAAACGTATTCAGTCTGCATGCTTCCGTGAAGTTTGGCTTTATACCCCTTAACCTTTTAGAACATCAGATACCAGAGCATTAATTTTGTTTGATAAAAATCTAATCTGACTGTTTATGGATTCACTACTTTGCTTTATAATGTAGCCTATCTATTTTGTGAAGAGTGGAATTTTGTCTTGAAGGAAAATAATCTCTTGGTTGTCGCATGTAAGTCAACCGCACACATGCAAAAGGAGCGAGACGTTTGTCCACTCAACAGAAGCCACATTCGTTTGAGTCAGCCGTCCTCTAAACTGATGTGAATTAAACTCAGACCACAACAGGTTTCACTTTGACTCAGAAACTGAGCTGCTGGAGTCTCAAAAGCATGCAGTCAGTGCAAACTGTATTCATTGTTTTTATTCCAAAGTAAAGCTGTTTTGAGGGAATGAGATTCACGTAAGAAGGCCTTCATACACACTACAAGCTCAAACAAATAGTTCACACTTTTTTTCTCTCTTGATTGTCTTCTCTTCATTTAGCTTCTCTTTGCTTTTATATACACACACTGTTCTGAGTGAACTTGATTTCATCAGTTTGAGATCCAAGGCCATATCCTGCAGAGTTGACAGTTTCTCTCTTACCAGATGCAAAGTGACCTTTAATGTTGTTTTAATTAAAATGTTTTACTGATGTGCTTATTTAGTTTTCTCTTAAACAATCAGACAGTGCCATATATATCCATTGGCCTGGATATTTTGGTACTGTCGTGACATTTATTTCATAAGTTGTGTCTTATTTCATGCAGTTTATGTTATTTTAATACCTAAATAAAACATCTCTCAAAAGTTGCAGGTTGGTCTGGTTTTGTTTTCACAGTAATCACACGTGCTATATACATTTTTTATTTTTACTACTTAAAGCACTGTTTTTAAAACCTATTTCAGTTACAAATAATATATGTTTAATGTAGCCTATTATTCTTTTGTTTTTATTTTTTATTTTAGCATTATGTTGAATGTCTATACTGGATTATTGTGACACTTTTATTGCAAGGAATAATTATTTATTGTTTGGAATAAAAATTAATTACAATCATATTTTTTTTTACATATTAATACAGACTACTACCTCTTCTGTGGGAGTGGGTAATTTAATCTATATGGAACTTTCTATTTTAAACCAATAATAGTAGAAATAAAATCATTTACTACTCAGTGAATAAATGTGGATGTATTTAGCCTAGTGAAACTTCAACAAAACTTTCCACATTTACCATAGTGACTAATAATATGCAGAAGATCTCAAACCTCGAATAAACAAGCATTTCAGAATTTTGATAATTCTAGGCAAG